CCGTCCCTGATCATGTGTTATTATGGTAGGTATACCAAATCGACTAAAATCTTTCAGCGGAAAAGCTTCTGGCCATCGAGTGAAGCGTTCAATAACTGTAAGTACATAAGTACAACCAAAGGACGGAGTGAGTGGTCCAATCAAGTCGATATGTATATGATCAAATCTAATTTTATGAATTTTGATGTTGATGATTGGCGATTTTGTATGTTTTTGGATTTTTGCTTGTTGACATTTTAAGCAGGTTTTGGTCCAAACATGAATTTGCTTTGACATGTGTGTATCAGATTGTAATGTTGTTTGATGTGCCAAACGATAAGATTTTGAAGGATTGTTGGAAAATTGCTTATTCAGTAAGTTTGACAATTCTGTGTCAGCAAGTTGAGTGTTGCTAAGGGTTAGAAAATCTGGATAAGATGAATTTAGAGATTCGATGTTTGTTCTGGATAGAGCATCTGCAACAACATTTGAATTTCTTCTGATGTATTTGATATCTGAAGTAAATTGTGCAACATAAATTAGATATCGGGTTTGACGAGGAGTTTTGTCTGTGGACGAAAAAATTGATGTGACAGTGGGTTTGTGATCTGTATATACCGTAAATTGACTTCCATGTAAGGAATGTTTGAAAAATTTGATAGCAGAGTAGATCGCTAATAGTTCTCTATCAAAAATTGAATCTTTGGTTTGGCATGAAGTAAATTTTTTGGAAAAGAATGCTAATGGTTGAGATTTTCCATTGATGGTTTGTGTTAAAACAGCTCCCATATCTGTGTTAGACGCATCAGTTGACAATGATAGGGTAGCATGTGAAGAGGGATGTCCTAGAAANGGACGGAGTGAGTGGTCCAATCAAGTCGATATGTATATGATCAAATCTAATTTTATGAATTTTGATGTTGATGATTGGCGATTTTGTATGTTTTTGGATTTTTGCTTGTTGACATTTTAAGCAGGTTTTGGTCCAAACAAAAATTTACTTCGACATATGTGACCAAAAGAATCTTGTTTTGATTGCATGAATTGTGGAACGTATTCCGGGATGAGATAAGCTATGAATGTTGTCAAAAATTGCTTGTCTGAACTGTTGCGGAATATAAATTCTTGGAGATGATGAAGAGGTTTCACACCACAGTTTGATATCAGATTTTAATGTTGTTTTGATGTGCCAAACGATAAGATTTTGAAGGATTGTTGGAAAATTGCTTATTCAGTAAGTTTGACAATTCTGTGTCAGCAAGTTGANAGGATGTCCTAGAAAGATAGATTTTGATAGAAGATCTTTGGCTGAAGAAAAAGCGTTGTCGTGTTGCAGTGTCCAAGAAGTTGATGAAATTGTTTTTGATAGTAAAGTGATTTTGAAAGTGTGAAAATCTATGGTAGAAGTTTAACATTCCCAAAAATCTTTGTAACTTTGTAACTCTTTTAGAGTCGTTGGCTTTGGAAAATCGGGATCGTTGATTGGTGAACATTTCGATTTTCTTTTTCTTTTTGGGTTGACTTGTGTCCAATTGAAGAATTCTTGAAATACAATTCTCAGCTATTCAGTGTTTCTCACAAGGGAGTCACGAGATCATGTACATACAATATTTATTGAATTTTTAAAAATTAATTTTATTCTACCACATTTTATATGTTGTTCTTGGATTATTTATTTATCAATCTGTTTTTTGTTTTTTTTTGTAAATTATATAACAAATCATTTATTAAAACAATTTTACATGGCACACTTTGTGTGGTGCATGGCACACTACAGTTCTAGTTTCAGTTCAATAAAAATATACTACAGAGTCAAGGACAGTAGAATCTAACAGGACTGCTACATCCATTGTATTTTTGTAGTCCACTCCGGGTTGGTTGCCCGCACTCTACGTCACACTATTTGCCACGCCTGGTAACTGTCTGTGTTTTTAGAGGTTATGTGATAGACATTAATACGTATAAAAACATAAAACTTCAAAAATAATATGAATACGTCTTCGATATAACCTCTAAAAATAAACAGCAAACGCATAGACCATAACAACAGCTGGGCGTGGAAAATGGTGTGACGTAGTTTGCGGGCAGGTTGTCACAACAATGGATGTAGCAGTCCTGTTAGATTCTACTGTCCTTG